ATACAAACATTTACTGACCGAATTTTAATCTTTTGTTCCCCCACGTTTTCGGTACCTAAGATGATCATTGTTACGGTAGTTTATGCTGTTGTTCAGCCACGACATTGCAGAAATAGAAACTGTTTCTAAAATATAATCTTTGTATTTGTCGTCATGGATGGTTTGAACAAAAAAGTTTAAACAAGGTAAGGATCACTTAGGGCCAGGGCCGGAGTGGGACTCATTTTCAGCCTTGGAGTTTCAAGCCTCAGACCGGCCCACCTCAGTTCACGACTGTCAATATTAAAATAAGGTCATTTCCAATTCAGTTTCTAGGGACACTATCAAGTCTTTTTCAAGAAAACAGCTCCTTTAGAAATTGAAATGTTCAAAAGACCTTACATTATTATATGTCTTAACAATAAAAATGAAAAAAAATAATACTAATTTTTCAAGTGAGATTTGAACACGGGTCGGATGGCGTAGAAACGCAACGCGTTTACCACTGGTCCACTATAGCGCTAATACAGTGGAAAAAAAAAAGTATGGGACTGTGACCTGCAAGACACGGTATTACTTTCTATTGATGGCTTAATCTTTTTCTCCCCTTTTTAGATATCTGATCAAGTTATGTCAGATTTATTAATGTAGTGAATCATCTGATTTTCATTGAGCAGGTGTATTATTCATAATTAATTATTCGAATTCGCTGTTTGAGGTCGAATAATGATAGTTAACGTTACATCATCATTAACGTTAGTTAACCTGGAGGCTGCATTTTGCTCACGGGGCTGCGAGAAAATAAATAAGAAGAACGGAGCTGCAGCAAAATAATGAATAAAAAGAGTGAGGCTATGGTCAAATAAATAAATAGATGAAAAAATGTGCGACTGCTGAGAGTGCAAGCAGCTAGGGACACCGGCCCTCACGGCCAAAAAACCGAATTCTCCCGGTCCTCCCGATTAGCCAATCCGGGCCTGCTTAGGGCTGAACAATTAATCGTTATAGTTGAAGTCAAAGTTATTAGCCCCCTGAATTATTAGGCCCCCCTGTTTATTTTTTCTCTAATTTCTGTTTAACGGAGAGAAGATTTTTTTTGTCATTTTTAAGCTGTATAGAAGTGTCTTGAAAAATACTTAATTAAATATTATTTACTGTCATCATGGCAAAAAGAAAATAACTCATTTCTAATAACTGGCTTATTTTCTCTTTGCCATGATGACAGTAAATAGTATTTAATTAAATATTTTTCAAGACACTTCTAGACAGCTTAAAGTGGCATTTAAAGGCTTAAAGGGTCATGAAACACCAAAACACATGTTTTGAGCTGTTGACAGTCGTATATGTGTCCCACACTGCTAAAAACACTATTAGGACACCTATATTTCACTAAAAAGTGTAAATTGGTTATTTTTGCGTTATTTCAAGCAAATTCGTACTTCCTGTTTGAAACGAATTTTTGAAGCTGCTTCACGGTCATGACATAATAGCGTGTATTCCAGTGTGCAGACTGGACGTCTGTGCCAGAGTGTGTCTTATTACGTCTTACAGTGTGTTGCATTAATGCATGAGTAAGGCTTGGTTCAAACCAATCAGCGCGCTCTATTGTGCAACTTCATTAATATTCATTAGTGTCACCGTGTTTACGCCACAGAGACGCCACGTTGTGTTGGCAAAACAAGCGTGAAGTGTTGCTTTTATAGTTTGCTGCCGTTAAGTTTCGTTTTCATTTTCTCTCTGTGAGAGCTCAGACTCACGTGTGGATTAACAGTGTACGCGACGCTCGACAACAATAACTTGCGTGTCTAAGGAGGAACATTGTTTACCTGAGAGCTGTTCTCATCTGCAAACGCTGAGATCCGGATTCGCTTGTAGTCTTCTCTTCATAAAGACGCGGCTCTAGTTGCTGGTGATTGTCCTGTCTCTACAGATTTGGTAAGTGAGCGACCAGTGCTCTTTGTTTATTCAGTTTGTTCGTATCGAATTAAGTTAACTATTGCACTGAGTGCAAACATAGCACCGCATTTTGTGACCGGAATAACACACGCGGCTTTCTGACGCTACCTGCCGTGTGGATCTAAGTTTCCGGGAAATGCGGAGGTTTTTTTTTCTCTCATTCGCCGTGCGGTATCAAACATTGCATGAAAAATACACGCTTAGAGCAGCTCCTCGAATCAAATATCGCGTTTGTCGCGAGGGGCATGAATGAATCCCTTGAATGAAAGAGCCAAACTGCAGTTAAAGTCCAACATTTAATAATTTGGCAAATAATTCGACTACAGATGTCCATGTTGGTTAAACACCATCACTTTCTCATGTGTGTGTATTTTGACTGAAACTCGCGTGTGCCCAAATAGACACTCCCACACCCTCCCACTTTAGTTCCTCCGACACTCCCCCCTAAACAGAGCTGGACACGCCCACTTTTCTGACTTTTTCCAAAGTAGAGGTGTGAAAACACCCTGCTGAAACGAGGGGGTTTCATGGCCCTTTAACTAGGCAGGTTAGGGTTATTAGGCAAGTTATTGTATAACAGTGGTTTGTTCTGTAGACTATCAAAAAAAATTGGCTTAAAGGGGCTAATAATATTGACCTTAAAATGGTGTTAAAAAAATTTAAACTGCTTTTATTCTAGCCGAAATAAAACAAATAAGACTATATCTAGAAGAAAAAATATTATCAGATATACTGTGAAAACTTCCTTGCTCTGTTAAACATCATTTGGGAAATATTTATTAAAATTCATATTTATGAATAATTCTGACTTCAGCTGTATAAACACACACATTTAATGAATATAGATATTTTTTGTATTGAATCAAAGATTATATTCCTTTTATTTAGTGTGTAAACTACAATATTAAGCTTAACCTTGACATTACAAAAGTTAATCCCAAATCAAATCGCAATATCAGTTCAAACAAATTACAATTAGATATTTTCCCTAAATCACCCAGCCTAAACATGTCACATGTTGTTAGGAAAAGGTCTTTCCTGAATAGATCTCTCAATACATTTAGAATTTGTTCATCTCAACTCATAGTACTTTGTAAATTTACAGAGTTTCTTTTATTTGTCTGCAGACCAATGTAGCCTTAGTGTCTCCTCTCCTGCGCCTGGAGAACAACCACTGTCACATCGAGGAGAGCGAGTATGTGCTGAAGAAAGCCCACAAATACAGCGAACTCATCATTCTCTATGAGAAAAAAGGCCTTCATCAGAAAGGTGCCGTCACTTATCATTCTGCTTGCTGACATGTGGGACTAGATAAGGGGTGGGCAGCCTTCTGGCTATGAAATGCTTTTGTGTTACATGCTGTATTATGCAAAATGTTAATTGCTCAAGGAAAAACTAACAAATTTCATAGTCAAATGTATATATTTTGTGATCGGACACATGCTTGTTTAGTTAATATTCCTGCAAAAAGTGCATTACTATATTTTTGAATTATGTAATAATATATTATATTATTACGAGTAGGGCTGCATGATGCTGGAAAAATTGCACGATATACGATGTTGTTGAGTATTGATATTTCTTAAAATATAACATTTCCCTAAAAAATGCTATTTCTATTAGCTATGTTTTTAAATAAATAAATAATTACTATTAAAATCAACAAATAAAATATTATATTTCAGATCTATTTCAGACTAAAAACCTTTAATTGACAAGGTACAAGCATTTCATCTTTAAATCACTATAAATAAGTGTAAATCTCAGCAGATACTTTGACTGGTTGGTTGTTGCCAACACGGTTAGTGTTTATTTTCAGCTCTGGGTCTAGCCAATAGCAGAGCCGGGGATAAAGATAGTACTGCCCCATCTGATTGGTCAAATTTAAATAAACAACCAATGCATAAGATAAAGGCGACGCAGTGGTGCAGTGGGTAGCACATTCGCCTCACAGCAAGAAGGTCGCTGGGTTGCTGATTCGATCCTCGGCTCAGTTGGCGTTTCTGTGTGGAGTTTGCATGTTCTCCCTGCTTTCGCGTGGGTTTCCTACGGGTGCTCGGGTTTCCCCTACAGTCCAAAGATATGCGGTAAAGGTGAATTGGGTAGGCTAAATTGTCCGTAGTGTATGAGTGTGTGTGGATGTGTGGATGTTTCCCAGAGATGGGTTGCGGCTGGAAGGGCATCCGCTGCTTAAAAACTTGCTGGATAAGTTGGCGGTTCATTCTGCTGTGGCGACCCCAGATTAATAAAGGGACTAAGCCGACAAGAAAATGAATGAATGAATGCATAAGATAAATGCCTGCGATACGTTTATTGCATATACTATTATTGCGATAACGCTAATTTGTGCCGCTCTAATTTTAAGCCAGTTTTGTCATAAGTGTATTTAAGCTTTCAAATATCCTTAAAGTTTTAGGTGTAGACTTTGAATATTCTTAGTCCTCAGAGCCCTCTTGATTTAAGTAAATAAATAAACTAGGTGTCTTGGTGACTGTGATTGGTTGTCCAAGAAGACGACAGACTAAGGAAGAAAAAATGTTTTTCAGGATGACTGAGATGATTGACAAGAATCGTTCCTTTCTGAGTTGATTAACACTGTTAATTAAAAGTATTTAATTATTAACAGGGTTCCCACGGGTCATGAGTTTCTGTAATTTCAAAAGGTTTTTTCTAGACATTGAAAGCGAGGGAATTTTATTTATTCATTTGAATATCAAGGACTTTTGTTTGTCACTTTGAATTTTATTTTCTGTTTATCAAAATTAATTTTCTTTTTCTAATCTCGTTTCACACATTTTGCTCAGTGTTATGGTTAGGCTATTTTTAGTGCCATTTTATTTCTTTCCCTCACTTCAGCTGTAAGTAACCAGTCTGTACTAAGGCTAGCGGGACAGGAAATGTACATTTCAAGAGCTTAGGCTACCAAATTTTTACTTATTTTCAAATTTTTAGGTAAATTATCTATTGCAGCTCACATAACAGCTATTCAATTCATAAAGAATTATTTTTAGGCGCAGACTATTTTAATGTTTTGTGTTGCACAACAGCGCTTTGTTTTTCTAGTCATTGTAAGCCATATCAATTCAGCTTTTTAGACAGGGAAAAGTCAGAGTTTGACATTTGGTTGAGAGTGGGAACCCTGTATTAATTACTTCATAAAAATTGTATTTAACTTGTGTAGGGATAGTTTACAGTTTGACCCAAAGAATGACCAGTCTGGTAGATGAAGAAGAGCCGGAGTCAGAGATTTAAATAAATAAATCAAGTTTACTGAAGATAGTTTGCAGTTACATCAGCAGAAGCCAGCTTCAACACTCGCAATGAGTTCCTAGGCCGCTCTGCTTACAATCACCAATCAATAACAATTATACTCTCACATAACGTCATTAACTGCGTCATACATACTGGTGTTCTAACCTGATTGGTTAAAACACAGATAGACTAGGAACATTTCCTTGTGGGGTTTGTGCGTACAATTCTGAACATTATCTTAAGCATAAATGTCAGACATCCCTTAGACTGATTAGAGCTGACTCCAGACCTGTGAAACGGATCAACAATCAAATAGAACACACACACTTAAAGTATAATCTGTTTCTCATGTCTAAATGTGTGAGTAGACTAACAGAGAAGTGTGTTTGTCCAGCTCTGCAGGTTCTGCTGGATCAGTCCACCAAAGCCAACTCGCCTCTGAAGGGTCACGAGAGGACAGTGCAGTACCTCCAGAGGCTCGGTGAGATCAGCACACTCATTTACTGCACATCTCGCATCATATAATCTAGTTAAATGTGCACTTGTGTTTAATAGTTCAATATATTGTGGAAATGAACATGCATGATGTTGTTGTCTTCGCCACTTCGATTTACCGTGCAATTTTCTTACATGGCATGTAACTTGTTACACAAGGAAAAATATTTTACTTCTGAAAATAATTAGTACCTGTCTACTGGCAACACAGTAATCTGGGTAGTGTTTGCATAGAGACATGCAAGTCTTCAGTGACTTCAGCCAGTTTCATTGAATGTTCATCACATTTCAAAAGCAACATCAACGATTTGGTTAATCGTTAGATTTTTCTGTTTCGGGTTGTTTCACTAACTGCTGCAGTTAGTGAAACTTCGCATTGTGCGCCTCTGAAGGATCTAATGGACCCAGAAATGGTGCTGAACAAATATAAAAATCCATGTCAGCCAATTCGCAACAAAACAGGGATTCTGCATCTGTTGAGAAGTGAATTTCATGCGAAAATGAACGAGTAAACTCAAAATGTTCAAGCATATTAATACATTTAAATATCATGATTTACTCATGCAAGCAGTGTCTATTATGAACACTTCATGAGCACAATTATTTTCAACATTGTTGATAATGAGCATTGTTTCGAATCAGAATGGCGGGGCAAGACTGGAGAAATGATGATGAAAATGTAGCTTCATATCAGTCACAAGAATAAATGGCATTTTCTTTTTCTTTTCTTTTTTTTAACTTGGTTTTTATAGATTTTTTTAAGAACATGGGTACGTTCTTCGTACGTGGATTACTCAGTTAGCTGGATTTGGTTATTGACGATTTGACATGATCCAGGATCGTTTCGTTCTTCAAAACTGATCTTAGAGTTGTTGTCATAGCAACAGTTCTGCTAGCTCAAACCTGGTCGGGAGCAGGTTCAATTCATATAAACAGGATTAGATCGGCTTAGTTCAAGCAAAGATAATACAGAAAGTATGTACTGTATTTCTGATATTTTTTCACAGTAGTAGTTATATACACTTGGGAAAGTAGTAAATATTTTTAAGCTATATATAAAGTTATAGTTATTAATAAAATAAATAAAGTTTTATATATTAATAAAACTTATGCAATCTGCACCCCTGAAATGAAAGTACGAAGACTGCCACCTGGTGGTGCAAAGAGAACTTGTTGTTATGAACTTTTTTAGATCGCTTTAGTACAATTAGTGTAAGATAATAGAAATGCACAATATGTGACTTTTCAAAAGCAATAATACATTTATGCTGTCAAGTTTTGACAGTTAATATATGATGGGGATTTAGTGCTTCATAAAATTTGCAGTCACCTTTACCAATATGAAAATGCTTTTGTAAACATCCAGTTATTCTTTACACTGATTTAAAAAAAACGGCTACTATAATAAAGAAAATCTTTTCTAAATGTGGAACTAAATACACTGATATACATTGAAATACATGATGAATACACTCAACACATGAAAGAGTAAAGCCTGCAGCTCACAACAAATGTGGAAGGTTATTGTGTGTCATATTTAGCAAACCATTTACTGCTCATGTGATGTAATTTTGCTCACATGGATAATTGAATATTAATCAGATGATGTCATTACGCTGCTTTGCCGTCAGCCAATCATTGCATTGCTGATTATAATTTCGAGGATAGATAGATCTGTCCTTCACAACACACGCAGCGATCTCAGATCAGTTTATCCAGACATTCTAATCTGATTCGTGAACTTGTTTGAAGAACCAAATTAGCGAGAGATCAGTTATCAAGATTAAAAGATCCAGGATCTCCCAAATCATCTTAGATCATTTAAGCGAGCTAGAAGAATAGACCCCACATAACCAGTGGGAACAAAACAAACAAAACAAAAAAAAATACATATATATACATAAATATACATATATACCTATATATGTATGTATGCGTATATAAAAATAATAAATTAACCTCATTAAAATAAATAAATAAATAAATCAAATAAAATAAGTATAAAGTAAAATACAATAAAAGATCACCAAACATATTATCACAATGATGCATAACCTCAAGAATTATGTAAATGTTCAATTATAAATAATTATATTGTCATTAAGGGAAAGCCAGCCGTTTACTCCATTTATTTTCAAAGATCTCTAATCGCAATCGAAGAGCATGTGTCATTTTTTCCATTTCCTCAACTTCTGCTATAATTTTGAACCAATCACCTTTAGGTGGTGGCTCTTCTTTATATCATTTACAGGTTATAGCTTTTTTACTTGTTGCCAAAAATATCTTAAATAGATATCTATCCTCCTTTTTAAGTTTAATAGGAATATATGCTAGATAAAGTACTTCAAATGATCTAGAAATATGAAAATCAAAAACATAATTGATGGATGCTTAGACAAACTTTGACTGACCCAGATAAGTCTTAAACTAGATGGGAACAGGATTTGGGGATAACACTAGAAAATGACCTGTGGGGTCAGCTATGTAGAGATGGGGTAACCTCAACTTTGAATTCCAGATTTAGATTAATCCAGTTTAATTTCTTACACCAGCTTTATTATACTCCATCCAGATTACACATATTTAAAAACAGTATTTCTCCTCTCCGCTTCAGATGTGGTATAGAAGAAGGTACATTTTTGCATTCTACATGGCTGTGCCCTAAAGTGAAAGTGTTGTGGGTACAAGTATGTAATATTATATCACAGATTCAAGGAATTGATTTTCCATTGGATCCAGAGATATGTTTATTGGGTAATTACACAAATTCTAACCTCCACCATAACTATGCTATTAAACTTACCGAAATGTTGCTGACAATAGCTAAAAAATGCATTGCTTTAAAATGGAAAACAGACATTGATTTACCAATTGGACTGTGGATCTCAGAAGTTTGCAACTGTATACCATTGGAGAAGATCACATATTCTTTGAGAGGAAAGGATGAAGTATTTCAAAAGATTTGGAATCCATTTTTGAACTACATTAAAACAGTACCACTTGATTTGATTTGACAAAATGTTTTTGTTTCTACTGGCTTATACTGTATCTCCTCCCTTTTTATTTGTTTATTTAATTTAATTTTAATTATTTATTTAATATACTATGTATGCTTTAATTAAGTTTGTTTGCTGTTGTGTTTTGATGTTCTGTATTGTTAATTCTTGAAAAAGCTAAATAAAAATATATAATCACAAAAAAAAAAACATAATTGATGGCGGAGTGCACCATTTAGCATTTTCAAATGTATTCCGATGGAAATGAGTAACTGATATGTGACCTTGGACCACCCTTGGTCTTATGTTACATGGTAACTGGTGTTTTTTGATTGTAGCCAAAAACACATTGTATTGGTCAAAAATAAAGGTTTTCATGTATGCCAAAAATCATTGCAATATTAAGTAAAGGTCATGTTCCATGAAGACATTTTGTAAATTATAAAATGTAAATATATCGAAATTGCATTTTTGATCAGTCATTTGCATTGCTAAGCACTTCATATATAATTTTTTTTTTTTTTAACCCTCTAGATTTCTCGAATAGTTGTATCTCTACCAAGAATTATCCCAACAAACAATACATCAGTGGAAAGTGTATTTAGTCAGCTATCAAGTGACTGTATAAATCTCAATTTGCAAAGATTGGGATTTACAAATTATGGTCCAGGGTCACATATTGTAATGATATTTCAAAATATTTAACTAAATATGGTCTTGCTGAGGGTGACGCAGCAAGAAGGTTGCTGGTTCGAGCCTCGGCTGGGTCAGTTGGCATTTCTGTGTGGAGTTTGCATGTTCTCCTGCGTTGACGTGGGTTTCCTTCGGGGGCTCCAGTTTCCCCCCACAGTCCAAAGACATGCGGTACAGGTGAATTGGGTAGACTAAATTGTCTGTAGTGTATGAGTGTGTGAATGAGTGTGTGTGGATGTTTCCCAGAGATGGATTGCGGCTGGAAGGGCATCCGCTGCCTAAAAACTTGCTGGATAAGTTGGCGGTTCATTCCGCTGTGGCAACCCTGGATTAATAGAGGGACTAAGCCGACAAGAAAATGAATACATGAATGGTCTTAATGAGGATTAGGCATATTTTATAAACATTTGCGATACTTGTTTATCCTGTTATTTCCAGTACTTTTTTTTTTCTTTTCTAAAGACCGAAGTCTACATGTCGTGAACCAATTAATATAAAATGTATTACACAATATAAATCAAAATAAAGCAAAAACATCAACAGTTTCAGATAAGAATCCTTGTTTCTTTCTCAACATGATGTTTATTTGTGTCTCTCTGCTCAGGATTGGAGAACCTGGGAATCATCTTTGAGTTTTCGCCGTGGGTGTTGAAGATTTGTCCAGAGGACGGCCTGAAGGTGAGATGAGCACCGTATAATCATAAGACATGTGTCCTCTGTGCTGATTTTGAAGAGTTGAGCCTGAGTTGCTGCTTACAGATTTTCACGGAGGACCTAACGGAGGTGGAGACACTGCCCAGGGATCAAGTGTTGAACTTTCTGAAGGAGGGCTTCAAGGAGCTGGCCATCCCATACCTGGAGCACATCATTCACATGTGGGACGAGACGCGGCCTGAGTTTCACAACGTTCTGATCCAGCTCTACCTGGAGAAGGTGCAAGGGCTCATGAAGGCGTATCTCAACACACTGCCTGAAGGTCAGACATACAGTCGACTCACACCACTTTATTAGTTCCGGTTAGACATGTAACGATGAACCACAAACAGGCTGGATGATTTTCCAAAACTGTAATAATTTATTTAACTGTTCTAGGTCTTAAATATTTTTGCACAGGTCTTTTTTTTTTGCGATGTCCATGTAACGCTACATTTAATGCTCATTTAAATTCTTTTTGTTGTTGTTGCTTGGTTTTTGGGGTGTCGTAGTTCTTTATTTCACTAGTCCAATTGTAATTTGCGGTATTACAACTACAAAAAGGTCAACTTGCAATAGCCAATCAGCTTTCTGTTATTAAACTCAGTGTGCGCGGCGAATGTGACATCATCGCTGTGTTTGCGGAAGTTCACTTTGAGTGTGCGCGACATGATTTCGACTGGCAGAGTATGCCGTTAAATGACGCAAGCGCAGTTTTATAAGTCGGGAGTGCTGTAATACGAGAGAGCGAATCTCTGCTCACGCACCGGTTTCCTTTGTTCATGGACAAAACTGCTTGCGAGCTCTTAAAACACTGGCTGCTCACGTGCGAATGATCTGCTCTCGCTCTGTCGGACTCCTTTCGTGCTTTTCCAGAGATGCTGTAGTATTAAAAATAGTGAACTGATAAAATGAAATACAGTGTAGTTTTACTACAGTAAAGTGAGTTGAATTGTAGAAAAATATACCCTATATTGTAAAAAAACTAAAGCACTGGGTAGTTTGTTTTTAATACACTTGTTGTGTTACCTTAGCAGCTATAGTATTAACACAACAGAATAATTGAAGTACTTTGCTGTACTTCACAAAACACTGTACAGCAGACACTAGTTCACTTTATTTATGTGATAAAATGGGATTGATAGTGGGATTTATTTAAAGAGTCAATAGTACAGTAGGCTATAATACCTAATCAAGTGTTTCCCTATTTTCTATCACAGTTACATTTCTGCTTGCCAGAATGACCAATAATTACTGGCTAGAAATTGCAACAGCCATGGGAAAGGAGGAAAGTTTTTGTAAAACTTTGGAAAAACTCTGAGGGATAAGTTTGTGAAAACAACAAAAAAGAGGCCCCCAAAAACATCTTCAATGATGATGATTATCTTTTTATTCATCTGATTTTACTTTGTTTTTTTGGACCGCCCCCTGTCATTTAAAAAAAAATATCTCAATGGTGAACGTGTCAAGTATAAAAGCCTTAATCCGTTTCGTGAGTAGTGCGATGCGGTGCCGGGTGAAATTATAAATCTGCATTAAGATTAGGGGTGTCAAGATTTCGATTTTTAATCGAAATCGATCGAAATTTATGCTCAATTTGGATCGTCGAATCAAAAAATAGAATCGTCGATGCTGCCACGCCCCCATGTCACGTCATCTTGGCTTGCCAAGCGGAAAGAAACAGGCTTGTTGAAGTGCTTGTTAAACTGCAGAAGCAGGAGACCCGTCGACAGAACTTTAACCCTCTCCTCTTTCAATGAAGTCGCCGATGTGTAAGCATTTTGGATTTCCAGTGAGTTATGTTGACAACGTTCATGTTGTCGACAAAAAAGAACACAATTTTGCAAGCTCTTTTACGTATTAGGGTTCATCCGATAGACAACACTGGCATCGCGATCCTCCGCCCACCCCCGTTGCAAATCCGCTCGTGAAAAGTACACACTCAGGCCCTGTTTACACTGTCTTTGTTTTTAAATGGCATTTTAGAACGACAACGATTTGACATCCACAGTGGCGTGTAGCATTTCTGAGCAGCCCTCCTTCCTCTCTACCTCTGACACACACACACACAGACGCAGACGCACACACAGCCATGGGCTCGAGACAGCGGGTTCAGGCAGTCAGAGGATCAGTAGTCTGCTTCAATCTTTCACTCACTTGTACTTAGTCATTTTAGCGAACACCTCAGATACTGTTGGCTGGTTTCTGTTGGTTGTGCGTCTTTTTTTACCGACGCCATTATAACGACACAGATCACTGCCTATTCACGAGTCCCGCAAAAAAAGTGATTGACAGGTGGTAATTATGTGTGTATCTTGCCTTTATTCATTTACTGTATGATTTGTTTATGGGTAAAACAAAGACCATGCAGGTCAGGTAGTTTAAACGGTAGGCTACAAATAACTAATTGGTCATTAATTAATTAATTATTCATAATCGAATTGAATCGAGCCTTTAGAATCGAAAATGTAATCGAATCGAGGATTTGGAGGATCGTGACACCCTTAATTAAGATGTTTGTTTTTTCTGTAGTTCAATGGTGCGTTTAACCCGACTGTAGTACTGTTCAATTTAAATAACTTTATTTTACCCCTAATTTTGTGCTTTTACATTTTCTCTCGCGTGTTTTTGATATTGCGATATAGGTCTTAAATTTAATACTTAATGGTCTTAAAAAGGTCTTAAAAGGTCTTAAATGTGACATTAAGATATCTGCAGAGACCCTGTATAAGACCTCTTTGTGCCCTCAGGCCTGAACTACTAAATGAATTTCTAGCACCACACACAATATATCCAGTATTTCCACTATGTATCCATAAACCTTTCTAAAAGGAGAGCTTTCCATCTTCACGAAAGTTTTGTGGATTGTGTGCAGGCATTCCAGCTGTAGCTGCAGGAAAAGAGAAAGGAGAGCTGGGCGAGTTCAGGAACAAACTTCTGTCTTTCCTGGAAGTTTCCAGCAGTTACGAGCCAGAGATACTCATCAGTGATTTCCCTTTCGACGGTGAGTCCAGAGGTCAGACAGATCACTCAATATGACATCTATGAGTACAACTGGATGATGAAATGTTGGTTTCCCGCTTTCTGTCAGGCCTGTTGGAGGAAAGAGCGCTTCTTTTGGGACGTATGGGGAAACACGAGCAGGCTCTGTTCATCTATGTCCACATCCTGAAGGACACGCGGATGGCTGAAGAGTGAGTGAAGTCGTCTTTAGTGTCTGGCAGTCTTCTGCTTTTTGATATCAGCATTTACTTTTTTACCTGGTTAATACATTAATCATTGCAAAATTGTGGATACATTATAAACTGTAATGATAGAGAGCAAATGTATACACTCACCGGCCACTTTATTAGGTAAACCAACTACTCATTAATGCGAGTTTCTAATCAGCCAATCACTACTCAATGCATTTAGGCATGTAGACATGGTCAAGACGATCATCTGCAGTTCAAATCGAGCATCAGAATGGGGAAGAAAGAGGATTTAAGGGACTTTGAACGTGGCATGGTTGTTGGTGCCAGACGGGCTGCTCTGAGTATTTCAGAAACTGCTGATCTACTGGGATTTTCAGGCACAACCATTCGAAAAAGAGGAAATATCCAGTGAGCGGCAGTTCTGTGGATGCAAATGCCTTGATGCTAGAGGTCAGAGGAGAATGGCCAGACTGGTTCCAGCTGAAAGAAAGGCAACAGTAACTCAAATAAGCACTCATTACAACTGAGGTCTGCAGAAGAGCATCTCTGAACACACAACACATCATGACAAATCTGCAGCTACTGTGTGATGCTATCATGTCAATATGGACTAAAATCTCTCAGGAATATTTCCAGTACCTTGTTGAATCTATGCCACAAAGGATTAAGGCAGTTCTGAAGGCAAAAGGAGGACCAACCCGGTATTAGTAAGGTGTACCTAATAAAGTGGCCGGTGAATGTAATTTTTCCATCAACTAAATAGATTATTAATGTAAAACAATGCAAATGCTTTAATATGATTTGGAACATTTGACTCTGTTCTTAATTATTAATTATTAATTTTTTTTTAAGAGTTGACCGTAACAGAGTTGATATTTTCAAACATTTTGTACATTAGATGCAAAGCAGATACCACATACATGCATTTTCATCATATTGTTTAAAAAAAAAAAAAAGGTGAATGAGATATTCACTGAAAAATCACAATATTGACAAAATTTACACAGCAAAAACATCAGAAAAAAAATTTGTATTTTGAGGGAATTAAAGAATCATCAAAATTTTGTTTCCCTCCTAATAATTGAAATCATCGCTACTGATGAAAACTACTGCATTGAACACAAGCTGCCGACATGTATAGCTCTAACGCATCTGCATTCTTATTGTGTTTTGATTTTTCTCAGGTACTGCCACGGTCATTATGATCCTGCAACTAATGGCAATAAAGATGTGAGTGCTGCTCAACTTTCAGTGCTAATTCAGTGAAAATTAAGTTAATTCTACAGTTTATGCAAGGTACTCCAGCCTGTTCTGTATGATGCAACATTCCAGTCCTTATTACAATGTCAACTGAATCAAACTGAGAATCGTGATATAAACTGAACCGAGAATTTTGTGAATCGTCCCACCCCTAATAATTTCCTAAATGTGCATAGGACTGTTCATGGTTCTCTATGCTCTACAAAATAAAGACATCAGAATGGAAATGCTCACAATTACAAATATGAGAGGCTTTCGGACAGTGTATATTTTGGTCATTAGACTTTCATTGTAGAAACAGATATTGAAAAACAAAAAACAAGTCGTTTTTTGATTTTCGTTTGAATATAAAAAACAAAACAAAAATTTAAGTTTTTTGATTTTCTTTTTTAAATTTTAAAACAAAAATCAAAAAAACAACTTGTTTTTCTGTTTCACGGTGAAATATTTCGAATAACAAAAAATAAAAACACCAGAAAACAAAAATTAATGAAGACTTGTTTTTTTTTATATTCCGAAACCAGATAGGCCTCATTTACGGTGACGCAATGCTTCCACACACAGGCTAGCCCAATATAGGCTATTATTTTTCCCACTTAATTTTATAAAAGTTATTTTCTTGTGATAACAGGATTTTGTTAAGACATATTTTCCCCATTGAAGCCGGTAATACGGAACAATATAATTGACTATATATGCATTATTTGCATTGTTAATCAAATTTCTGAAAATAAAGTTTATTGTTAAAATCACTTCCATTTGACGAGTGTCAGTAACATTGGACATTCGTTTGGAATCATTTGAATGCCTCTCTCACTTGAAATGATTTGTGGTCAAATTTGGGGAAGTGAAAGTATTATGGTTTAAAGAATGGTTTTTAGAAATGTGTTCAGTAAAGCAACCTAATGCTTGCATGTATCATCAAAATAAAGGTTGTTTCATTTAAAACATGCCAAAAAATAAATAAAAATAGCCTATAACTGGCCCTTGTATGAGAAATATGTTGTTAATGGGGAAAAAATGTCTTAAGAAAATCCAGTTATGACAAGAAAATACCTTTTACAACATTATTAAGTGGAAAAAAATAATAGCCTAAAGTAGGCTAACAGGTCAGCATTGTGTCGTAAATGAGTTGGCCTATATTGTTTCAGAATATAAAAACAAGTATTTATTCGTTTTTGTTTTCTGGTGATTTTATTTTTTGTCATTTGAAATAAAAAAATGGAAATCAAATCATTTTTGAATTTTGCTTTTTCGTTTTCCACCATTTTTTTTTATTCTAAAATCAAAAAACGCATTGAATTTAAATTTTCGTTTTTTTTTTTTTATCTAAAAACGAAAATCAAAAAACGAGTCAATTTTTGTTTTTCAGTATCTGTTTCTACAAAGAAAATCCAATGACCTAAAGATACACTGACTAATTTCATTTGTATTGTGTTTAGTATGTGAGAATCTGATAAATAAATAACAGTTTGAGAGTTGCAACATTCATCAGTATTAAACTATTGCATAATAATTGCTTAGTGGAAACGTATAGACGTGCAGAAATTATAAGTTCTCTTTGACGCATTGGATTGAATTGCTGTTTCATTTGCTAATGTTTATTCGGTTTAATTCACATCTTCGGATGGAAACAGCTTCTGTGGACCCACAACAGATGTATCTGTCTCGTGGTGACACATTTTCTGTGAACGTTAACAGATGGATTTTGTGTCTGCAGGTGTATCTGTCACTGCTGCGCATGTATCTGTCTCCTCCTGATGTTCATTTCCTCGGGCCCATTAAGATGGAGCTATGCGAGCCACAGGCAAACCTCCAGGCGGCGCTGAACGTCCTTCAGCTTCACCACAGCAAACTCAACACCACCAAAGTGAGCGTCCACCACTAAATCCTACTAGTGTTGTCAAAAGGACTGACTTCAATACCAGACGATACCTACATTTTAATAACGTCCATTTAACATAGGTCTGCCCGATTCTGGATAAAGTGAGAACGTTAATGTCTACGTTATTTATAACTTTACCACCTGTTATTCACAGCCTGTGCAGGTACTGTTTACTACAGTAGACCTCATCATTGGGTTATCCTCTCTGTGGTAATCAAACAGCTCACAGCCACGAATAAGTCATTACATGAAGATAGAAATGACATTTTTAGTTGAATTATACCATATTAATCCAGTATTCTGACTCTTTCAACACTATTTAGAGTCTGGCTGTGTTCACGTTACCGAGTAATGTATGTAAGATGATGTATTAAAAGACTTTTGCTATTACATGCTTTTCTCCAGACATTGGAAACAATCGGCTGACTCATAGCGTGGTGGGTCGAATTGAGATCACGATCTTTTAACGATTAATCATGCAGCCCTGTTTTGACGCTAACATTTTAGCACTGTTGAGCAGGTTCTTAAACACCTTTGTGTTCACATGCTCATCAGAAATGACTGTGATTGGCTCTAATGATCATCGCCTCACTCTTCATCGAGCACTTAAACAGATTCACAGACACTGGAGCCTTCGAAGTCTGCGTCTATCAGCGTATCTGTCAATCTGTGGATATATATAGATGTTAATAAAATTTTAGTACTAAAGTCAGCTCTTTTGACAACCATAACTCCAGCATTGGCATTTCACAAAAAAATGCAAAAAATAGTTCAGCTAATTTTCCTATTTAAAGCTTGACGTCATTGCCCCTGCTGTTTCCATTGTACAGCTGCTAAGTTTCTTGATTTGTTACGCCAGAATAAGGGTATAGTTCATAGCTATATCAGCCTGGAAAAATAGCAACTTTTAATTTTCTATTGGTCTTAGTAGCTCACATGTGATTACACAGCCACAAATAAGTCATTACATGAAGATAGAAATGACATTTTGAGTTGAATTATACCTTTTTAATCCAGTATTCTGACTCTTTCAATACTATTTGGAGTCTGACTGTGTCCTCAATGCTGAGTAATGTATTTTAAACGATATATATTTAAAGACTTATGCGACCGCCTTTATGCTTCTCTCCTTACCTTGAAAACATGATCGGCTGAATCATAGAAATGCTGGATTAAGATTGTGTGGGGGGTTAAATCGAAATCTTGATCTTTTAACGATTAATCATGCAGCCCTGTTTTGACGCTAACATTTTAGCACTGTTGAGCAGGTTCTTAAACACCTTTGTGTTCACATGCTCATCAGAAATGACTGTGATTGGCTCTAATGATCATCGCCTCACTCTTCATCGAGCGCTTAAACAGATTCACAGACACTGGAGCCTTCGAAGTCTGCGTCTATCAGCGTATCTGTCAATCTGTAGATATATAGATGTTAATAAAATTTTAGTACTAAAGTCAGCACTTTTGACAACCATAACTCCAGCTTTGGCATTTCACAAAAAAATGCAAAAAATAGTTCAGCTAATTTTCCCATTTAAAGCTTGACGTCATTGCCCCTGCTGTTTCCATTGTACAGCTGCTAAGTTTCTTGATTGTCATATTAATCCAGTATTCTGACTCTTTCAATACTATTTAGAGTCTGGCTGTGTCCACAATACTGAGTAATGTATTTTAAATTATATCTTTATATATATAATATATATATATATATATATATATATATATATATATTATATATATAAAGACTTATGTGACTGCCTTTATGCTTCTCTCCTGACCTTGAAAAACATGATCGTCTGAATCAGAAATGCTGGATTAAGATTAAATCGATATCTTGATCTTTAACGATTAACCATGCCTATTTTGACGGTAACATTTTAGCACTGTTGAGCAGGTTCTTAAACACCTTTGTGTTCACATGCTCATCAGAAATGACTGTGATTGGCTCTAATGGTCATCGCTTCACTCTTCATTGAGCACTTAAACAGATTCACAGACACTGGAGCCTTTGAGATCTGCGTCTATTAGTGGATCTGTCTGTCTGTAGATATATGGATGTTACTCAAATTTCAGTACTAAAGTCAGTAATTTTGACAACCATAAATCCAGCATTAGCATTTCACAAAAAAAAGTTATTTAAAGCTTAAATATCATTGCACCTGCTGCTTTTATGGTAGAGCAACAATGTTCCTTCATTATTACGCCAGAATGACAGTATAGTCCCTAGCCATATCTGCCTAGAAAATAACAGCTCTTCATTTTCCGTTGGTCTTAGTACATGAAGAAACTACAGAAAAGACGAGCTTTAAAGGGTCACGAAACACCAAAACACATGTTTTGAGCTGTTGACAGTCGTATATGTGTCCCACACTGCTAAAAACACTATTAGGACACCTATATTTCACTAAAAAGTGTAAATTGGTTGTTTTTGCGTTATTTCAAGCAAATTCGTACTTCCTGTTTGAAACGAATTTTTGAAGCTGCGTCACGGTCATGACATAATAGCGTGTATTCCAGCGTGCAGACTGGGCGTCTGTGCCAGAGTGTGTCTTATTACGTCTTACAGTGTGTTGCATTAATGCATGAGTAAGGCTTGGTTCAAACCAATCAGCGCGCTCCATTGTGCAATTTCATTAATATTCATTACTGTCACAGTGTTTAGACGACAGAGACGCCACGTTGTGTTGGCAAAACAAGCGTGAAGTGTTGCTTTTATAGTTTGCTGCAGTGAAGTTTTGTTTTCATTTTCTCTCTGTGAGAGCTCAGAGTCACGTGTGGATTAACAGTGTACGCGACGATCGACAACAATAACTTACGTGTCTAAGGAGGATTATTGTTTACCTGAGAGCTGTTCTCATCTGCAAACGCTGAGATCCAGATTGTAGTCTCCTCTTAATAAAGACGCGGCTCTAGTTGCTGGTGATTGTCCTGTCTCTACAGATTTGGTAAGTGAGCGAGCAGTGCTTTTTGTTTATTCAGTTCGTATTTTATTCGTATCAAACAAACTATTGCACAGAGTACAATAGTTAGCACTAACAGTTACAACCAAACTATAACCTCGTGTTGGATTTTGTGACCGGAATAACACACGCGGCTTTCTGACGCTACCTGCCGTGTGCATCTAAGTTTCCGGGAAATGCAGAGGTTTTTTTTCTCTCATTCGCCGTGCGGTATCAAACATTGCATGAAAAATACACGCTTAGAGCAGATCCTCGAATCAAATATCACGTTTGTCAGGAGGGACATTAATGAATTCCCTGAATGAAAGAGCCAAACTGCAGTTAAAGTCCACCATTTAATAATTTGGCAAATAATTCGACTACAGATGTCCATGTAAACACAGTCACATTGTCCGCTGTGGGTGTGTGTTTTGACTCTGAAATTTAGCGTGCCCAAATAGACACTCCCATACCAAGCCGCTTTTCTTCCTCCGACACTCCCCCCTAAACAGAGCTGGACACGCCCACTTTTCTGACTTTTTCCAAAGTAGAGGTGTGAAAACACCCTGCTGAAACGAGGGGGTTTCATGGCCCTTTAAATTATTGAAACTCTTTGGAGTGAGATGCTAAAGGTCTAATCAAATTTTTAGATCTATACTAAGCTAAAAGTGTTTCTGCCAGACATAGAGATTAGCTAAATTTATTCAAAAATGGTAAAATTCAACTGTTAAACGCTAGAGTCTTTTAAAAGAAAAGTTCCTTTTGGATGCAAGTTAGACATATTGTTAAATGAGACTCTTTCTGCTGTCAACTATTGTGATTATTGTGAGGTAAACATCTGTCAGTCATTTTGCAGGCAGATTAAGTTCCAGATTTCTGAGCAGGACTTTCCAAACCTCACGCAGAATCCGTGGCATGCAGACTCATTGTGTTTAAATTCCTCTCTTTGTCTGTCATCAGGCCATAAACCTGCTGCCAGCCAACACACAGATCCGAGAGATCCAGGTGTTTCTGGAGAGCGTGCTGGAGGAGAAGGCTGGACGCAAGCGCTTCGACCAGGTCCTGAAGAGCCTTCTACAGGCCGAGTTCCTGCGGGTTTGTACACTCGTGTAGTCAACACTTTTGGTTTGGTTTTCTGTGCAATTGCTGTCATCATTTTAAAACTGTGGATACTGGTGTGACTTCAATCTGAATCTTTAGAAATCAAATCCTAATTTTGTGCAGTGAGGTTTTTAGCATTGTCTCATGTCATGTTTTATATATATACAGTAGCTTTATGAATTTGAAAGTTGAGAACTGATAAACAAGTAAATACTTACACAACCAAATATAGTAGACAACTGGTTAAATTTAAAACCTTAACTGCAGAAAACAAGAAAACTTTTCCCAAAATAACTCAGAGTCGGGATATGAAACTGGAATTTGGTACCAATCAATAATGAAATTTTAAAAACGGCCATTTCTTAAACAGCGCTGATTTGCTATTGTGTTCACGTGCTCAACAGAAATTTCTGTGATTGGCTGTGAAGGTCATCAGTTCACCGAACTCACCACTGAGAGCATTTTAAAGCCGGGATTCATCGAATTCAGTGACGTTGAAAGGCTCCAGTGTCCCTGTATCTGTGGTTACACTCAGTAATCAGCAGTGAGTTTAGTGAACTGATGACCTTCAGAGCCAATCACAGTCCTTTCTGTTGAGCACGTGAACACAATGGCCAGTCAGCGCTGTTTACGAACGTGCTCAGTAGTGCTCAAATGTTAGCAGGAAATGGATGTTTTTAAAATTCAGTACCAATTGATACCGGATTCCAGTATCGTGACAACCCTACCGGAGATGGCATTGTTTCCTAAAAAAAGATAGACACTTTTTAGGAAACTAGAATGTTTACTCTGTTATTCTGCAAGTTAAACAAATACTTGCTTTTATGTGTTCTGTAAGTAGTTGATGAGTTTACATGCTGTAAATCCAGCAGTTCTGATCTCTCCGCTTAATAGATCAACTAATATGGTCTAATAATAATTATTAACAAAAAATGTCCTCTTACACATATTTTGTTTTACATTAAGACGTCTAATGTAAACATTGAAAACATTAATATCTAATGTTTTACATTTTAATAAATTTGAGCAGATAATATTGGTCAAGAGGATTGTGCTTTTTCCACACATTGACATGGCAAGTTGCCAAAAAAAATGGTTTTGCCCCTCCCCTCTCTCCAACCAAACGAATTTCAATTTACTGACAGAAAAACTGATCAGTAAAACCTTGAAAAACAACACTTGTTGTTCATTGAGCTGTTCGTTGTAATTCTTAAATGTATTGTAAATTTAAAAACAAATATCTCCATCGGAGGGAACTTGAGATTTGTAACCTTTTAGAAATTTTTTTTTAGAAAAAAACACAGTGTATGTTAGAAACATACACTCTACACTGACTAACATTCAAAAAGAGTGACAAGGCATAATTACAGGACATCTTAATTGTTGTGTTGTGTGTTTAGGTGCAGGAGGAGCGTATCTTTCACCAGCAGGTGAAGTGTGTGATCACAGACGAGAAGACCTGCAGAGTGTGCAAGAAGAAGATTGGAAACAGGTGTGTGTGTGTGTGCGTGCGTGTGGGCGTGTGTGCGGGCGTGTGTGCGGGCGTGCGGGTGTTTTATGTCACTGTATTGAAGTGCATTCAAACAGTTGTTAACCTCTACAACTTCCCCAACCGTCACCGTTAAAAAATGTCTACGTCTTCCCCAACCCTAAACCCAACCGTCACCGTTAATAATGTCTACGTCTTCCCCAACCCTAAACCCAACCGTCACCATTATTAATGTCTACGTCTTCCCCAACCCTAAACCCAAATGTCACCATTATTAATGTCTACGTCTTCCCCAACCCTAAACCCAACCGTCACCGTTAATAATGTCTACGTCTTCCTCATCCCTAAACCCAACCGTCACCGTTAATAATGTCTACGTCTTTCCCAACCCTAAACCCAACCGTCACCATTATTAATGTCTACGTCTTCCCCAACCCTAAACCCAACCGTCACCGTTAATAATGTCTACGTCTTCCTCATCCCTAAACCCAACCGTCACCATTATTAATGTCTACGTCTTCCCCAACCCTAAACCCAACCACTACAGTTATTAACATCTACATTTTCAACCATCAGTTGTTAATGCCTACATCTACTCCAACCCTAAACCCAACTGTCACAGTTATTAATGTCTACACCTTTCCCAACACTAAACGTAACCATCCCAGTTATCAATGTCTATGCCTTCCCCAACCCTAAAACCAACCATCACAGTTGTTAAACTCTACGCCTTACCCAACCCTAAACCCAACCACATCCCAGTTATTAATGTCTACATCTTCCCCAACCCTAAACCCAACCATTCCAGTTATTAATGTCCAGTTGTTATTAACTTCTCCACTGTGCACGTACAGCCGAGAGTTGCGGAGGCTTTTATACTTGACATGTTCGCCATTGTACTGTTACTTGCAATCACAGGGGTGCGACACTCAGTTGGTTAACGGTCATGACAATATGGACAAAGATTCAGTGTTGTTTTCCAGATAAAAAAAACATGTTTACTTAACATGTTTCTGAAAAATCTGCAAACATATAAAGGTATTTTTCTATTTTAGAAGTGTCAGAAACTTATATAAAGCACCTTTAAGGTCTCATAAACACAATTTACTTGCACTGCTGGGTTACTAGTTAGCATATAAACCAGGATGTGTGTAAGCAGTTTGAGGAGATACTGAATTAATCCTGATTTTTCTGTCACTCTTTGTGTCCAGTGCCTTTGCCAGGTATCCAAACGGTGTGGTGGTCCACTACTTCTGCTGTAAAGATCGCAACACATGTCCAGCAGAGTAACAGCAGAAAGAGTCCAGACCGACCTGAAGTAAATCTCTCTCTCTCCGCTTTCTGTCTGGATCTGACTTTACCCTAAAACGCCAAAGACCACTCGTCAGTCTGGTCTCGTTAATCAACTTCCAAAAACTATGAAGCCAATTCAGATTTGTAAGCTTGCCTAAATGCACAACACAGATCGGTAGCTTTTTCCTCCCCCTGAGGAAACCTCCTGTGTGTGCGCTTTACTCACAGTGCACCTTTTCATCCAACGCGACGCTTTTTGTCTGATGGCTTTTAGTGTTTGCGCTCACCTGCAGGCTCACAGGACTGTTCTTCTGCGCCACTCGGCTTCACTTAAGATGAAATCAGACACCAGACACAAACCTTAATGTGGCCCGTCTACACAGAGGGCAGCTCCGGCACACACTGTGGAAACAAATATCCATTACTTAAAGGGATAGTTCACCCCAAAATCTAAATTTTTGAGTTTGTTTTTGATGGATGCTGGTTGTTTGTCTTCTGTAGTAGGAAAAAATACAATGCAAGTCAAAAAGTGGCTGTTTTTTTCCCTCCAGCAATCCTCAGAGTATCTTCCTTTGTGTCCAACAGAGGTTTGGATGAAGTGAAAGGTGAGTAAATGATGACAGAATTTTCATTTTTGCGTGAACTGTCTCTTTAACAGTTTCTGTATTTTGTTCATTGAAGGGTGTTCATTGCATTATGGGAGCTTGATTTCTGCTCTGTTAAAGCACAGAGTAAAATTTTCAACATCAATAGTCGACAAAGTTACGGTTATTGACATTTTAATAGTATGAAACAAAATGTTGTATAAGAAATAATGAATAAAAGTCAGAAAATGACCGAAGAAGTATTATTATCAGTTTAATATTGTAATTGAGACACCAATATAGACCGTATTTGACTCCAAACTAATAAAAATGTCAGTAAAATCACTTTTTTTAACATTAAAAGTTGTTTGTTGACAGATTGAGGTCCAATAATGGAATTTAAAAGCATCCATAAATGTAAAAACAGAAAATGACCGAAGAAGTATTATTATCAGTTTAAATTGTAATTGAGACACCAATATAGACCGTATTTGACTCCAAACTAATAAAAATGTCAGTAAAATCACTTTTTTTAACATTAAAAGTTGTTTGTTATCAGATTGAGGTCCAATAATGGAATTTAAAAGCATCCATAAATGTAAAAACAAAACAAATACGATGGGAAAAGGGTAATTTACAGTGCATGAATGCTCGCAGATCAGCCATGTTAACATTTAAAGAGACAGTTCACCCAAAAATCTGCATTTTTCTCCCTCACATAGTTTTTATGAAATTCTATTGAACACAAAAGAAGATGATGAGGAATGTTGAGGAATAATAGCAGCCGTTGACTTCCACAGTAGGAACAAAATACAATGCAAGTCAAAAATCTGCTGTTTTTTTCCCTCCAGCATTCTTTAGAGTATCTTCCTTTGTGTCCAACAGAGGTTTGGATGAACTGAAGGGTGAGTGAATGATGATCGAGTTGAGATTTTTTGGTGAACTGTCCCTTTAACAGTTCCATATTATGTTTATTTGAGGATGTTAATTGCATCATGGGAGCCTGATATCTTCTCTGTCGACTATTGATGTTGAAAATTCAACTCTGTGTTTCAACAAAGTCTCTGTTATTGACATTTTAATGGTTTGAAACAAATAATTTCTATAAGAAATAATATATACAAGTCTGTAAATTAACAGAAAAAGTACTATTATCATTTTTATATCAGAATTTCCAACACTGATGTTGACAGTATTTCACTTCAAACTAATACAAATGTCAGTAAAATCACTTTTTATTTGAACTTTTCAACATCAGAATTTGTTGGTTAAAAATTGAGGTCCAATAATGTCATTTAAAAGCATCAATAAATGTCAAAAATACTGGAAAAAATGCTAACTTATGAATGTATATATATAATTTTACAGCATGGATGCTCGCAGATTCATCATGTTAGCAATTAAAGAGACAGTTCACCCAAAAATCAACATTGTCCCTCACAAAAATGGCTTTCATGAATTTCTGTTGAACACAAAAGAAGATATTCCGAGGAATTTTGAAGAATAAACGCAGCTGTAGACTTCAACAGTAGGAAAAGAAATACTATAAGTCAAAAACTGGCTGTTTATTTCCAACATTCTTCTATTGTGTTCAACAGAGGTTTGGATGAACTGAAGGGTGAGTAAATGATGATCGAGTTTTCATTTTTGAGTGAACTGTCTCTTTAACAGTTTCCGTATTTTGTTTATTTAAGGATGTTAATTGCATTATGGGAGCTTGATTTCTGCTCTGTCGGCTATTAATGTTGAAAATTTTACTCTGTGCTTTAACAAAGTTACGGTTATTGACATTTTAATAGTTCAAAACAATATCTCGTATAAGAAATACTATCTGCAAGTCTGTAAAATAACAAAAAAAGTACTATTATCAGTTTTATATTGTAATTTACAACACCGATAAAGACAATATTTCACTTATAACTTATAAAAATGTCAATAAAATCACTTTTTTCAACTTTTCAACATCAATCAACAATCAACAGTTGTTGATTTTAACAGATTGAGGTCCAATAGTGGAATTTAAAAGCATCCATAAATGTAAAAACAAAACCAATTACAGAAAAAGAAGCTAATTTATGGATATTTGTACAGGGCATGGAGCTCACAGATCTATCATGTTAGCATTTAAAGGGACAGTTCACCTAAAAATCAACATTTTTCTTACACAAATAGTTTTTATGAAGTCCTGTTGAACACAAAAGATATTCTGATGAATCCGTATATGAAAATACAACACAAATCAATGCCTTTTTTTCCCCTATCGTTCTTCAGAATATCTTCCTTTGTGTTCATCAAGAAGAAAGAAACGGTTTGGACCAAGCAGTGGATGAGTAGATAATGTCAAGCATTTTTATTTCTGGGTGAACTATCCCTTTAATAAAGCCATTAAAACCGGTTTGTGTGTCTGAATGAGGAGCGGAGCAGCGACTTTACAATCTCAGTATTTTCTTTCTTTTCGTTACTTGAGTGGCTTTTATTTATTATTAACACACCGTCTAAACCTGTTGAGGAATGTTTCACCTATGTGTGCAGTCGTGTGGCTTCCTAATGCGTCTGTCTGTTTAACACTCGTGCTTTCTGTCCTGTGTAGAGCACGAGCTGGACTGTTGCTCGAGAGAAAGCTCACTCTCGCTACACGAATGCGAATGTATAGACTGTTCATTTAAATCTGAGCTGGAAGAGCAATCTAATAAAGGTTTCTTCTCTTATGCTGCTTGTCATTTCTTTGGACTGTAACTGTGCGTTCTCACCGAAGGCGGACAATGAACAATACATCTACTACAGTATTTGTTCATGTTAGTAAACGTTAGTTAATGAAAATTCAGTTGTTCATTGTTAGTTCATGTTAACTCACGGTGCATTAACTAATGTTAACAAACACGGAATAGAATGTTAATAATGCATTAGTAAATGTTCAATTATGATTAATAAATGCTGTACATGCAGGGCTCGAAATTAACTTTTTTACTTGGTAGCACTGGTGCTCCCAACTTCAAATATTTAGGAGCACCAAAAAAATTTTAGGAGCACCAGAAAAAATTTAGGAGCACCCACCAAAAATGAATGAGCACAGCTGCAAATTGTTTTTTAAGGGATTTATTGTATTTTAAAACAACATTAATAGGACTGACAAAAACCAGAAACAACTATCTAACTAATGCTGCGAAGACATTGATATTTGTGTGCAATAATTCCAAAATTAATGTCTAATAATTAGGCCATAGAATATTAATGATGATAAAAAAATGACAATAATAGTAACAATGAATTCCATTTTTCATTATGATGCTGCCTTGAATGTGCATGAATGTAGGTTATCTGCTATAAAAAGTCTGTTACTTTATGAAAAATAATTGTATAGTTTGCATCAAACAAAAATGAAGCATTGCAGTAAGAAATATTTATTTTGTACTGCTGTTTTTATGCCTGTCAATTTAATAAATAATATTTCTGCTACAAAACAAACAAAAGATTATAATAAATCATTCAATGCAATGCTGAAAGCTGCAAAGCAGTCATCAGTAAATAAATATAAAAATAATATACACCTCAAACAAGAATAGACAAAAGAAAGAAAGTAAAGTCTCACTTCTATCACTCTTTAGAAGTTTTGGTTTCAGTCAATTTAAATGTTCAGTCTGAGCTGATCTTCATGTTTCTGTGTTAGTGGAAAAGCAGGCGAGTCAGCCGACCCAATTTATGAGCAGGCAGAGCAGGATTCTTGCGCTGACCACCGGCCCAATACTGGTCTTTGTTATGAGCCGCAGTTTCAGTGTAAACTTAGTAAAGGCGAGCTTCTTTGGCGATGATATGTACAGTATTAGATTTGACTTTTAGCGGACATTTGCGCTGAACACGCAGTGAATGCAACGCATGGAGATTCGGGCGCCTTCTCCAAGAAGCGCGTACTCGATTGATCTCAGCTGGCGGATCATTATTCACCACGTGACGTGTCGTGATCGCTCTCATCTGCGCCTCAACTTTAGGTGGGGTTTGCAAACCTGTGTGCTTTAAGTTTTTACTCTTCAGCCGTTTGTATTTCCCGTGGTCATAAAAGCTCCTTCCCTGTCATCTGACAGCGGAATACCTTGAGTGATAGACAGCTAATATGAACCAATATAGCGGCAGGGAAGAGCGATTCAGCACGTTTTTACAAAAAATCAAAACAGGTCGCACTACAACCATTATCTGCAGTCGCACTAATGCTCCCAGATATATTATGAGGTCGCATAGATTAATTTTCGGGCGCATATGCGACCAAAATGGTCGCAATTTCGAGCCCTGACATGTGTTGTTCATGATTAGGTCATGTTAGTAAATGCATTAACTAATGAACCTTATTGTAAAGTGTTACCATTATAATAGCTTTATAACCATCATGTTTATGACGGATTTATGACAAATTATGTCATCTTGGTAAAGTCGGGTTGTCATGACAAAGACAAGAACAGGTTATGTTCAATTTGTTAATGTCAGTTGATATGAGAAAGACCTTTCCTTTGGCTTAGTCCCTTTATTCATTAGGGGTCTCCACAGCAGAATGAACCGCCAACATATACAGCATATGTTTTACACAGCAGATGCCCTTACAGCTGTAACCCAGTACTGGGAATACACTCTCACATTCACACACACACACACACCACTGCCAATTTAGTTAGACAGAAATGCCAACTGACCCAGCCGGGTTCGAACTAGCAACCTTCTTGCTGTGAGGCGACAGTGCTAACCACTGAGCCACTGTGCCGTCAAATGCCTACTAATAAAAAAAAAATAGTTCTATGGTATGATTCTAGTTTTAGTCAACTGTAATTATCCTGATTCTGACCAACAGTGTCTTAAACCAGTCAGCTCAGGTTGCGCAATTGGCAGTGATCAGGTCACAGGCTAAGCTTAAAAGCCAAGGACAACAAGCTAACAAAACATTGTTAGCTTAAGCAGCACAACAGAGCAGAACCCTCATCCTTATGAGTCACAGCGAGGACGAGCCAATGATCTCAGGCAGAAACAAAAAAAAACAAGTATTGATTTCACCAAAACTCTGTGTGTTTGTTGCGTTTGAAGGCTGCTGCTCGCACAAATGTGAAGAAGCTGTATTTATAGTGGGAAGTGGTTTGATTTTATTTCAATGTTTCTCACTTTGAACCATAGATATATACACTAGATGTCGCCTGGCCTATTGTTGTCTATTGGACGGGATGCGTCAATACCGCCGCCATCTTGCTACAGGGTAGCGCTCCTTTGAAATGAATGCGGGACCAAGGAACAGTGGAGGACTGTGGCCACCTAAAGCCAGAGAAATACACATATACACATATATCTATGATCGGGAATTTTCCAGGATGTCAGTATGTAATTTTTTTTTTCTAATTACGAAAATTATAATTTTACATCACTTTTCTACATTGATGGATCAGTGACCGCACTTACATTCCTGACTAAAAGCTTGTGTTTGTGTGCACAGAAATGTACTATTCACCCTCCCAGCTAAATTTGAACATACAAAAACAGAAAAAAAGTTAATATTACCTATGAAATGTTCTGCCTTTGTGCTTTGTTTTCTTTGTTTGCTCGTTACTACACCCGTAGACAGCGCTAAAGTCCCGCATCTTCACGTAATAACACTGTCTTGACTAGTGCGGTTAAATGACATTTGTCCTGGGAGCACTGTACCAATGTGGCGGCGCTATTGACACATGCTCAGGGTCCCTATGCGACATCTAGTGTATATATCTATGACTTTGAACAGCATTTACCACATGAGAAGATACTGTCGTAACTGTGCAGGTATTCTTTGAATTGTCTTTGAATTATAATGATGGAAAATAAACAGGCCCGGCCCCACCCAATCAGAAGCTTGGCCCAATGGCCCTACATCAGATAGCAACTTTTTTTTTGCGTTGCGTTTTGTAACTGAGAAAGCAGCATAAGATGTGACCGTGAGCTTCAAAAAACATGTTTTGGCAAGTCAAACTCATTGTTTTTCTTTAAAAAAAAATCACCAATATTTAAATTTTGAATGTGTAAACCGTCAATACTAATACCATTCATTCATTCATTTTCTGCCGCTTTTCCGGGGCCGGGTCGCGGGGGCAGCAGTCTTAGGAGAGAACCTCAGACTTACCTCTCCGTAAACACTTCCTTCAGCTCCTCCGGGGGGATCCCAAGGCGTTCCCAGATCAGCCGAGAGACATAGTCCCTCCAGCGTGTCCTTGGGTCTTCCCCGAGGCCTCCTCCCGGTGGGACATGCCTGAAACACCTCCCTAGGTAGGCATCCAGGAGGCATCCGAAACGATGTGGAGAAGCTTTACTTTTGTGCTCCTACCGGGTGACAGAGCTCATCACCCTATCCATAAGAGTGCGCCCTGCCACCCTTCGAAGGAAACTCATTTCGGCTGCTTGTATCCGAGATCTTGTCCTTTCGGTCATGACACAAAGCTCATGACCATAGGTGAGGGTAGTAACGTAGATTGACCGGTAAATCGAGAGCTTTGCCTTTCGGCTCAGCTCCTTCTTCACCATAACGGACCGGTACATCGACCGCATTACTGTTGCCGCTGCACCAATCTCATGTTCCCTTCCCTCACTCGTGAACAAAACCCTATACTATTACCACAATTACAAAAGGAAAACTGAATATTTCATTAATCACATAGTGAACAAATGAACAATATTTTATCCTGATTTCATTTGCATCATGTGATCTTTGCAGTTATATCAAGTAGAATGGCTAAAAAGTTGTTATACACATCTATAATTTACTGTAAACTGAACATGTTATTAACATAAAATAAGTCAAAATGCTTAAATATGATTAGGTTTCCCTCCAGGTTCCCCGGATTCCTCCCACAGTCCAAAAACATGCAGCTTAAGTTAATTGACTAATCCAAATCGGCACCATAGACATGCTCCTAGTAAGTAGTTATCTCTTAAGAGCACTCACTATCTGTTCATTAGCTGCTACAGCAGGGGAGTTCTCGAGATCTACCTGAGCTCAAACTCCCCTCTCACCTTGCAAATGTGAGGGAGCCCCGGGCTCAAAGCATGCAAAACAAGCTTATAATTGAAATATGGGAACTGATCTTTAACAGATATTTTTACAGTAGTGTGATGTGATGACGTGCTGTACGTAAATAGTGGCGTCAAGTCCATAAGTCTTAATAATTAATACACAAAAGATTGACGAAAAGGGTCTTCACTGAAGGGGACAGGATCAAAGAAATATGTGAGGAGAGTCACGTAAAGAGTGTGAGAACTAATGAACTAGCTGAGATCACGAGACTGAAAAGCAGAAGAATAGAAGAGCTCTGCTGTTTCTCTGTGTGACTTTGGCAGAAAGCTTGTGAATGCCAGCTGTGCTTGTGAGAGGGATTAGAGGTTCATGTGGTTCACTCTGTTCCAGGATCAGGTGGATCTGGTTTATGATTTCAGCTTGTGGAGGAAAGGGGAGAACGATGAAGGAAATCTCGGATCCAGTATGTTGAAGGACTTCAAGCTGAATATTGAGTAGGGGGCGGAGCTTTCTTATTGCGCATCGTTCCCTCATAGCAAACTAACAGTAAGAGAGGCGTGGCTAAGAATATTGTGTCTGAAGCATCAAACTGACATCATCAGAGAAGGACCGCCTCTCTAAACACTGAAATGCTCTTGAAGATTACCAAATGATTTTTTTCCACAGTGGATTGACTTGCACAGTTTAATTGTTCAC